AGAACTGGGGACAAATACTCTCTTATTCCTCTGATGGGAAACTACACTGTTTGGCAGTCTGTTGTTTCACAGGTTGACATTTACAACTGTCCCAAGGTGTCTGGAGACACATCTGCTGATGTGGCTTTGGTGAGCCCAGGAGGAGAGCTCATATATTCAGCCCAGGTCTCTCTGAAGAAAGAGGTGGGCTTCTTCAGCCAACCTTCTTTGTAGGGTGGCCTGGTAGAGAGTGGGGAACTACAGCCAGCTGACCCAGAACTACACTGGGAGACCTTGGTTAAAAGAGGGCCCAAAAAGGATGCAGAGAACAACCACTTCGCAGGGGAAGAAAACCATCTTCCTTCACACTGGGCCAAAATCTGACTTGTGAGATTGTAACTTTACGGTAGAAAATGCCATCATGAAGAGCAGGTGCGACCAGTATCCGTCAACCAGAATCTTTCGCAAACTGTCCCGTTTGTTTTCCTCTTACTGTGTGGGACGGACATCCCACAGGGGCCAAGCGCTCAGCCCCATCCCGTCCTGAGAAGCACATGAGTCAGGGAGTGGCTCTCCCCTGAGCTGGGAGTGATGGACACGCGGGGACCCTCTGAACACCAGTCACAGAACCGTTCGGGGGGGACTCAGAGTGCAATGATGCAGGTGGGGGACAGTCGCCTGGTCAGTGTCATGGGCTGTCTTCCAGGGTCTCATTCCCAGGGCCCAAGGACAGAAACCAACTGCCACAACAAAGGGAGTTTGGAAAAATCCGTTTTCCTATCACAAATAAAACTTCTGCTCCTACATCTTCAAGCTGCCAGATGAAGGTGCAATGCATGGTTTTGTGGCTTTTATATAAATTTACATATACAAACAGTTCATTCTTTAGTCAGGACTCACAGTTAAGTCCCCAAAATGAACATAAACACTTACTCCTATAATCCTTGAAAATATGACTGAGAATGCTGGTTGCAGACCTCCATTTATAATGGCGCAAAATACACCAACCACAAAATAAGGCCATTCAGTTATATTCAGCTTCAGAATCCTCCAAAAGGAAACTGGAGGTACACTTTCATCCTGGAGAACACAAAATATTACAACAAACTAGTTAGGAAAATAACTGATCTTAATGGATCGAACTGATGTACAGTTCTTCTCTATGCACAATTTTTAAACAAATATATCTTATTCCTTCTTCCTTATCAATTGTTGGCTGGGTAACCTTTTTTAAAGAGTGCTGAGAGATTCTGTTCCATTGTGCCTTCATTTTTAAAGAAATACATGATGAGTCCATAAATGTTTAAGTCTCACCTGACATCTGGAATGTGACAAGTGTATTTGTAAGGATGAAAGAACAAAAATGTTTGTATTTGAAGACCCACTATTATCGCTTTACATTATAAGCTCTAATTCTAAAATTCTTATCCTATAAATTATCATTCATAAATTCCACTTTAGAGTTAACATGTTGAGATTTGGGCCTGTGGACCAAGCTAAGGGATAGGACAGGGAATTCTGGATAACCCTTTCTTGCTCCCACTCCTATCCCAGCCTTAGCCCACTGGTAAAGACATCAGTCTGCAGCCTCCTCTGTACCAAAGTTTCTTCTGTACTGAGCTTTCTGTCCTGGCTTTGGGATCCACGGACACTCCTGCGAGTTGATTTTCTTCTGATTAGACTGGATCTTGAATCTTGGCAGGACGTGTACAAGTCATCAATTTTACTTAGGGATTCACCAGGGGTATTTTCTAATTCAAGTTCATTTCCTTTTGTCTAGAATAAACAAGAAATATGCATAAGTTGGTTAGGCGGAGTTAACCAATGAAATCTAATCATTCGACAGCAGATATCAAGGAAAATGGTAATTTAAGTCCTCATGGGAAAGGATGAAGTGGAACTGCCATTTTTTGGTGTGATTATATTTGAAAATTAAAACCATTAAATAAGGCTCCCCATAAACTATGCTGAAACAACATGGCATCCATTCCAAGTATCTTATCTAGTCACCTCCTTTGTGTGAGTGTTTTTGGCTCAATCAGATTTGCTTTGGACCAGTGACATCAACACAAATAATGGTGCAAATCATACTGTGAGACACAATGTTTTCAGTAGACATGTCAAAAAAAGTGATAGGTAAAGTTAACTTTAATTATATATTTTATCTAACCTTTAATGTATCTAAGATACTAGATTAACATGTAATGAGTGTAAAAACTTTTTGAGATAGCTTGCATTTTTCTTTGGACTAAGTCTTTGGACTCTGGTATGCATGTTCAACTTACAAACACTTCAGTTCAGATTAACCACCACTAACATGCTCAACAGCCGCGTGTGGCGAGCAGCTGCTAGAGCGGATACTGCCGCGGCTGCTGGTTAGTTGCTCAGTCGGGTCCTACTCTTTGTGCGACCCTGTGGACTGTAACCTGCCAGGCTCCTGTCTATGGAATTCTCCCAGCAAGAATACTGGAGTGGGTTGCCATCTCCTTCTCCAGGGGATCTTCCTGACCTAGGGATTGAGCCCACGTCTCTTGCCCGGCAGGCAGATTCTTTACCACTGAGCCACCTGCAAAGCCCTTACTAGAGTGGATAGCTCACTTTTAAGCCTTTTTAACTTCACCTTTCTCTATCCTTCTTCATTTCTCTCCTTTCAAGAGGGAAAAAAAAATATCTAAAACCTGGTGTGATCCTCAATCCCCCTGCTTCCCACCCAAAACTTTTTTCCCTCTTCTCAAGATAATCAGTAGTAACATACATTTATAGCACCAAATACAGCAAAATCAGCTCATGCCTGAGATACCTGAGGAAACTGCTAGAGTCAGACTATACCTGCATTGTGACAAGTTTGAAGTAAACGCCTCTCTTCCCCATGAGCTCATCATGACTGCCTTTCTCCACAATAACTCCATCATCAAGACCCGCGATGACATCAGCATTACGAACGGTGGACAGACGATGCGCTATCACAATGGTGGTCTGGCCTTCCCTGGCCTAAAGGGAGAAAAAGCTCATTTTTTAATACATGAACGATTATATGAAAAAAATTCAGGAATTCAATGTATATTTACTGACCACCAATGCCCTGGACATTGCAAAACTGTATATATGAGGCTGTCTCAGGCTTTAGTACATGTATTGTTAATGGTTTAAAATGATGTTTTAATAAGTATAAATACAAATATGACAGTCTCTTATTAATACTATGTAAGCCTCTAAGATTTTACTCAATCTCTACTAGCCTAAGTTTACGTAGTAATCAAGGGCTTATACAGAGGTAAAACACTCGACAGCCCAGGAATCAGTCAGTTGGAGTAGATACAGGCCTGCTGCTATCCTGAGCAAGCCAACCAGCACCAAGTCCCCCTGGAAGTCACCCTGTGCTCCCTCACAGACATCTGGATGACCAAGACAAACAATAAATGTGAGGCAACAAAGGCTAGGCTTCAGCACCACACTGATCTGAACTCAAATCTTAGTTCTGCTCTATATGAATTCCAGGATCTTATAGAAGTCTTTAAACCTGTGCGAGCTTCAACTTATTCACATACCAAATGGGGATATTAGTACAATACTACTTTCTGGAGTGGTTGTGATATACAATAATGCACAGGTAGCACTGTGATGTACACAGTAAGTGCTTAATAAATGATGTTATTTCTAGGGAGAAGCATTATGGGAAAAACTAAGGAGTTAAGTATATGTCTTAAACACCCAATCTCATTTTTATTTTCATATGAAACAAAGCCAGATAACCAGCACGTGTCTGAGATTTCTTTAACCTTTGTAACTTTCCCAGTGCTTATAATTTTTCTTATTCATTATTTCTCTCCGGGAACTAGCAATAAAATTCTCAGAATAAGCTAGCAAAAAGAGGTATAAGGATCAGTATGAAAAAGAGAAGTGAGGAAAAGTCTAGGAAGAGAAAAAAATGCACATCAGAAAAATTAGGTGGAAATAACTAGAAAGCAGAGAAGACAATGGATCAATTCTTTGGATGTTTTCAAAGGATGAGAGTGGAATGCCCCCTCTAAAATGTGCATTAAAAGGAAAAGGTATTTTTAAATGCAACCTTTCTAAATTCATTTTATTAATAATTTAATACATAGTAACATGGTAGAATAGAAAGAAAACACAGATAAGCAAAGTGAAGAGGGAAAAGCAGACTCAATCGCATCTCCATCTATTTTGGTCCACAAAATTCTCAGGGACCTTTTTTCTTTTTCCTTTCTCAACAATCTGTTACGCACTCTGACAGGATGTTTAGAGAAATAGAGTTGTTTTGTTATGATAAGAGGGAGATAGTTGGGGCAGAGAAGAGTTCATCTTTCAATTCTACTGGGAGCACTTCAACTCAGAGCACTCATGAGTGAAAAGGTTTCCGCGTTCCGTGTCCTCACAGAGCGAGCCTCGCTGTCATCAGACACCAGAGACCAAGCGCCCCGTGACTCGCATGGCACACGCATCGCGTCTGTCCGGTGAGTGAGTCACACGGACTCAGGCACTGCAGGAAGGTCGAACTCTGCTGATGGTCAAGGACATTTCATTTCATTCCCAGCGTCATCAACCCTCTGGCACTCTCCTCAAGATAAGAGGTCTCTCATTTCCCATTGTCTCTGATAGGCATCTGACCTCTTGAGAACTAGCTGTAAACCTTCCTCATGCTGACCACAGTAAGAACTCATAAAACCTAAGTATCAGGGTTATCTGTAAGGCCAAGTTTTTAAGATCACAATGAAGACCAACTTTCATCTGAGTCTATATTTCTCACTGTTTTACTTAAAAAAATGTGCAAGTATCTTTCAATGAAAATTTTTTCATCTCTACCTAAAGATATACTAGAGAAATAGAAGTTATACAGATCCAGAGAGGCCTGATGGTTCTAATAGCTTAAAGAATTACTTCAGGAGAGATTTCTTTAAAAATAATATTAAGAAGGATTAACAATGGAATGTTCTTACGCTTATAAACCAGCTAGGATCGAACTGGGGGCCACCCACCTTATCCAGGGCCGCCTGAACCAC